GTGGCTCAAGTGGTAGAGCGCTAGCCTTGAGCTGAAGAGCTGAGGGACAGCGCCCAGGCCCAGAGTTCAGGCCCCACGACTGGACCCAAAACAAAAACAAAAAACTGGTAGGAGTTAATAAACTCAATATTGAGGAAAAAGAGTCCATCCCTTTCCGCTGGACCAGCATTTACTATAGTACAGAGTCAGGATGAGGAAGGTTTATTATTCCTTGGAGGGAGAAAATGTGTCTGCTAGGGCACCTTCAGCTGGTATAACAGAAAACCCAGTTTAACTGGCAGGTGTTAGCTGTTTAGCAGGTGTTAAGAGGTTGGCCGCTGGTGGTTCACACCTATAATCCTGGCTATTCAGGAGGCTGAGATCTGAGGATCACAGTTCAAAGCTAAACAGGGTAGGAAACTCTGTGAGACTCTTATCTCCAATTAACCACCAGAAAACTGGAAGTGGTGCTGTGGTTCAAAGTGGTAGAGCATTAGCCCTGAGCAAAAAAGCTCAGGGACAGTGCCCAGGCCCTGAGTTCAAGCCCCACAACCCCCCCCCAAAAAAAAAGACATTGGACAGCAAAGGCAAGACCATTAAGTATGTCTAATATTCTCCCATTCTTCGTAAGTTAGCTTATCCTCAGACTCTGCATGTAGCTAGCGGGGAGAGGCTGGGCCTACAGATGAGCAGGACTTAGCTCATTTGCAAAATCACTAGGCTCTCTCCTACTTTGCAGGGCTCTTCCCAGTCTAGTGCAAGACATTGCTCCTCTTACAGTCCTACAAATTCAACAGCTAAAAAGTCCAATTCCTACTCTCCTAAGTCTTTTTCTCTTCTTGTATTCTCCTGCCCTGTTAGTATTATCTATCTGACCACCCTTAGCCAAGCCACAAACTCCTCCTACTCCTTCCTCTCTCATCCCAGTCTTTCAAACTTGCCTCTAGTCACATCAATTTTCTTGCAATTTCTTGGGACTCTGTCTCAACTATTGACTTTTTTTTTCTTTTACTGGTCCTGGGGCTTGAACTGTGGACTTGGGCACTGTCCCTGAGCTCCATTTTGCTCAAGGCTAGCACTCTATCACTTAAGCAACAGCAGTACTGCTTCCAGCTTTTTCTGTGATTAATTGGAGTTAATAGTCTCATACACTTTGCTGCCTAGGCTGACTTTGAACTGCAATCCTCAGATCGCAGCCTTCTGAGTAGCTAGAATTACAGGCATGAGCTTCCAGTGCCTGGCTTAACCTCTGGATGGGGTCTTAGGAACCAACATTTGTTCTCCTTGCAGACTCAGAAAGGACCATGGAGGTCTGTTACAACACTCTAGCCAACTCCCTAAGTATTGTGCCAGTTTTGGAGGGACCCACACCACCTCCTGACTCAAAAAACACAACTCAGGACAAAAGTGGGCAGCAGGAGTGCTACCTTGTGTTCATCGGCTGCTCCCTGAAAGAGGACAGCCTCAAGGACTGGCTTCGGCAGTCAGCTAAGCAGGTAACTTTGAACACCCAGATAGAATATAGCATTTATATGACCAGCATACCCCACGGCTGCTACTGGCCCCTGACAGCCCCAGCCCTCCTTCTAGTCTGTACCTCACAGTCTTAGCCAGCACTTTTAGGGACATTTTGACAATGGGTAGAACCTACATTGGGGCAAACTAAGCAGATGTGGTATATGTGCCCAGTGAGCCAAGAGCACAAGCTCTGCACACTCAGGGTGCAAAGCCTCTTAACACAGACTAAACAGTTTGTCTCACCTAGAACTCTGGGAATAGATGTGGCTAGGGCCTGGGTCTCTTGTAGGTACTCAATTCGGAGGCATAGGCTACCTCACCTAGATAAGCTCCTTTGGGGGCTACCTGGGGTTCTCAACCTTGAATCCTCATACCTCAGCCTCTAAGTGTTAGGATTACAGGTGTGCACACCACTCCAGGCTTTGGATAAGCTCTTAAATGGTACTTGAATATAAGACCTTAGGCTGTCCCTTTTGTCTAGATTCCCAGGAAAGAGAATCTGCAAGTTGGCAGGTTAACATTAACAGAGCTACTGGGCTTTCTCCCATTTGTTCCCTCCTTAGGTGGCAGATAGGCAAGATGTTATGTTTAAGTCAAGCTAGTTCTTACGCTACTCAGAAGCCCCCCTTTGCTGGGGGCTTCATCATGTAACTGACTCCCAGAGCCCTAGGCCTTCAACATTCCATGTACTCCCAACAACTCCTTTGCAACTTGTTCTCTCCCTCCATCTTGGCCTAGAAACCTCAGAGGAAAGCTCTGAAGACTCGGGGAATGCTGACCCAGCAGGAAATCAGGAACATCCACGTGAGTGTCCTTCCCTGGCCTCTCCCCCCAGGGGTCCAGTGCTGTCCTGGGCTATATAACTCTTGTCTTTTGGATTTCCTGAGGGAGGAACTGTTTATAGGGCATGCTGAAAGTCTTGCTTCTCTCAGACCACAGAGGGAAGCTAGTTATGATCAGCCTTGCAGCTTTAGTTAGAGAGTAATGACTTGGACATGAAATGGAGGAGAACCAGTACCTGTGAGAGGTACAAGTAATGGGAGGCCTGGCCTTGTCACTCTGTTCATGTAACTGCAGACTATCTGTCCAAGATGAGCCATAACTAGGAATCAACTAGGGCCCAGAAAAAAACATTCTACATCCAGAGTGCTCACGAGAAAGCTTTCAGCTTCTGAGGCTAAGATGAAGTGCCCTTGATGAGCCCCCTCACAAATTCCTAGGCTGATGCTTAGCCTCTGCCCCAGGTGGGCTCTGTCACTTGTCCCAGTGATGACTGGATGGGGCAGAGGAAGACTCTGGGACTCCTGGAAGGCCCTTAGCATGAAGCATCTACCAGCCTGGACAGCCTGGATACTCCTTGGGAGAGCACGGTGGGCATAACAGAAGACAGTACTCATAATGCAGGTTCCTCAGAAGCAAACCTGGAACAGGATTTGAGTAGAGGTCAGTTGTTTGAGAAGGGATTCTAGGAGACATTAAACAATGTATATAGAAGATAAGAGATAAGAGAAGCAGAAATGGCCAGTGCAAGGCATGCTGTTAAACCAGTGTTGCTGTGAACAGTAGAAACTTAATTCCATTAGGAACTCCAAGAAACCCTCCTGTGAGAGGCAGGGAATCACATCAGTCATTTGAGGTTACTATTGGTGTTACTGTAATCTTCTGCTTGTCTATAGCAGAGTAGACTAAGACTATCTTGCTAGTTGTAATAGGCCAGTTTGTTTTTAATGAGTGAATATTAGAAAGTAGTCATAATTCTAACAGGATTCTTCCAATAGGTGAAACGCCATCTGGACCCCCTACCTGCAGGCTACTTCTACAATGGCACCCAGTTTGTCAACTTCTTTGGTGACAAGACTGACTTTCACCCACGTATCCTTAGACTCACCTTAGTCCCTGTGTGGAACCGGGGGTGGCTAAGCTGGGAAATGCAAGCCTCTCTGAAGGACAGGTCTGCAGTCCTAGTGCTGGGATACACCAGGACAAACCTCAGGGTTGCGCATTTTATGTAGGCCATTTATTTACTTACTTACTTACTTACTTATTTTGTGGGTCATGGGGCCTGAACTCTGGGCCTGGACACTGTCCCTCAGTTCTTCAGCTCAAGGCTAGTGCTCTACCACTTGAGCCACAGCACTACTTCCAGCTTTTTCTGCTTATGTGGTGCTGAGGAATCGAACCCAGGGCCTCATGCATGCAAGGCAAGCACTCTATTACTGAGCCACCTTCCTAGCCCCTTCTGTAGGCCTTTTATTTCTTTTTATTTTTTATTTTTTGTTGGTCGTGGGGCCTAAACTCTGGGCCTGGCACTGTCCCTCAGCTCTTCAGCTGTAGACTAGCGCTCGACCACTTGAGCCTCAGCCCCACTTCCAGCTTTTTCTGCTTATGTGGTGCTGAGGAATCGAACCCAGGGCCTCATGCATGCAAGGCAAGCACTCTACCACTAAGCCACCTTCCCAGCCCCTATGTAGGCCTTTTAAACTTGTTGAAATTAGAATTGTCCTTTAGTTTGCAAATGGTAATGTTACTCTGTGGGGTATAGTTTGAATGCAGTTGTGGTAACATCCTGCAGGGTCATGATTTACAAGTTAGGAATATGGCCTGGCTATAGCGATTCACCTGTGAAAAGATGGATGGTGAAATTTGAGACTGGGAGCTGCTATATGCAGGCTTCCATTCTAGGATCTCATGAAGGCCTTCTGTCAACCCCTATCAGTCTTTGTAGGTGTGATGCTGTCTGTCAGGTACCTCAGTATCCCCTGCCTAACCTGCCTCTAGCTCCCTCTGGACCAGGCAGTTTCCCTTGTCTTCCAGGCTCAAGGCTCTCTTCCTTAACCACATACCAGTTATGGACCAGTTCATGAATGACTACGTGGAAGAAGCCAACCGGGAAATTGAGAAGTATAACCGTGAACTAGAACAACAGGAATACCATGACCTCTTTGAACAGAAGCCCTAGAAGCTGGGCCTGATGTCCACCCACAATGGGTGAATGAATGGGGTGTCAAGCCCCAGCTCTCCCAGAGGCCTCTGGAGGGTCTTTCTCTGTCCTCGTTGGCCTGTGTGTGCTGGCTTGAGTACATGTTGTCTTTGTTCTCTCCACAGCGCTGAACTCCATCACCTGCACCACTGCTGGGGGGTGGGGGTGGGATCTTCAAAGATAAGCAGTCAGGGCTGCCAGTATGTTCTCAGGTAGTCCAGGCCTCTGATCTCTGATAACAGTATTTCCCTTGGTCTGTTGAGGCACCATGGGAGAGTGTGGGCTAACCATTTAGTTTGCACAGAGGAACTACTGGGACCTACCTACCCTGGGACCTAGGTATCCAGATACCCTGGCTATCCAAATGGTTACTATGCCTAGTAGCCAGATACCATCCCAAGATGGCTCTCCTCCCTGATGGTGCATATTGTCCCTGTATCCTTCCATTGAAGGAGCTGGCCTCTACTGGCCCTGGGACCTGTCCAGCAGGTTTGCACAAGCCCTGCCCAATCCCAACCTATGGAGCCAGGAGCTCAGGTTGAGAATCATAGTACATTCTGAATGAAAAGGATTCCCTGATAAGCAAGGTTGAAAGAAAGGAATGATGCTTTCCAGAAGTGTGTAGCTCTTGAGGTAATGTTAACGACACTCCATGGTTGGTTCTTGAGCTCTCTGATAGCATGGTTTGATGTCCCAAGTTCAGAGACAAGAGCAAGCCCGCTGTCCAGGCTCCCAGCAGTGCTTTCCCTTGCTGGCAAAAGGAGTGTCCTGTATCCTGCCTGGGACCTGATCACTCTTAAGGTGTCCAACTCCAACACCCAGTCTTCCTCCCATCCATACTAAGGAGCAGGAAACGCATGCCCCTAAATCTTGCTTTTGGCCCTGGATTTCTTTGGCTCCTGTGTATTGGGAGTTTCAGAGTTTCCATACCCAATCAGAATTCCTTCCAGTGGTTTTGTTTTTAACTGGACCATAAAACAGAGGGGAAATAAAAATTGTGTCCAGCTCAGCCTTTGAAATTAAGTGTGCAGTGGTAGGGGATCAGGCCCTGATATGAGGTGAGATCTCCTAGGACTTCAGCGCCTCAGTTGCTTGGATTGTAAATGTTTCCTGAACTTCACATACTTCTTGCATGCCTTAGGAAGAAGCACATAGTTGAAACCAGCATAGTTTTTTGGTAATGTAGAGGGGTTTTGAAAAAGACCCCTGGTGCAGAGGAGAGCCGGGATGGAGCACACATGTCCATATGCCTGGTCACAGGGAGCCCTGCATGCAAGTAGCAGAGCAAGGCTTTGTCAGTAAAATATGCTTGTATTAGAAAAGAAAACAATTTATACTTGAAGCCAAATGAACAAAGCTGCAAATACCATTATATGAGAAAGCTTGCATTGAGAAAGCCTCCTGAAACTCAGGCCCATGTGCTCTAGTCTTAGCTCCAAAAGTCTAGGAGCCGCTGACTTCTGGCTGGCCAGAGGCCAGGGTCCACAAAGACCTTGCCTCTGCTTCAGAATCAATAACATAGATCTTAAGTGCAATTGATTAATAAGCAATGAGTTACTGTAGCTTCCTTTAGCTCTACTGAGCTCTTTTTAAAAACTCGGAACATGAGCAGCCTTAGAAAAGGGAAAAGGGGGTGGGGGTGGGGGTCGACAGGGGAATCACAGGCCATTTAATTCTTTGACTGTGAAGTTGTTGATGGATGCTCTGGATGTCAGAGCTCAAGCCATTTCCTTGCTGCCCTGGCCTGGCAGTCTGGCTGCTGCACAAGAGTTTTTAAAGAGGGTTCAGAGTCCGCGGGACAGCGGGCCTTCCGGCCATGTGGGGCTGTACTACATGGCACACTTGGTTTCTGACCATTGTCCCTAGAAATGCTCTCTCACCAATCTGCCCCTCAGTCCCCATTCCTCTCCAGGTAGAGGGGAAATGATTACCTCAACTTGAATATGAAACTGTGATTGAAAAAAAGGGCAAAATGTTAACAAGTATCAAAGCCAAAAAGGCAAAATGGGCTGAGGCCTCTACAGACGCTCCCCAGCCTGCTCGGGAGTGTGGAGGGGCACCCTGGTGAAAGGGCACTCCTGGGCACCCTGCTGTGCTCCTGGTGAAGGGCACAGCACAGCACACTGTGAGCTCTTGGCGGATCATCATGAGCACTGTTCCCGAGAACCTGTTCTGATCACGGGGCTTTAAGACCCACTCCATCCCTTTGGGTCAGGGAGTGAGGTCTTAGGCTATCTCCAGAGGAAAAGCCGTGACACTGTGTTTTAGCTTCTGACCTCGGCAGTGGACACCAGGGACAGGCAGGGTCCTCCAGGGGCTGACGTGCTGCTGCCAGCTTCGTGTTAGCAGCTTCAGTTTCATGTCACCAGAGTGAATGTGATAATGGTGAACTCGCTGAAGTTAGGTGTTTTTTGTTTTAATATGGGGTTTTTTATTTTATTTTTTTTGATTGGAAGGGAGGCCGTAGAAATTGGAGAAATTGGAGATCACCCTAGCAAAGGGTCACTAGTGAGGAGTTGAATTGGCCCCACAAGCCCTGGGGCCCTGAACAAAGGCCTGTACGCTGGCCTAAGCTGAGATAAATCACTCCTAAATTGTTGGGATTTTGGAGAATTTTTGCACAGTAATAAGCTCTGGGTTGCTCTTTGGGCTTCTCAAAAGGGAAAAGTTCAATTCAAAGATTGTAAGCTACTAAGTATTCCAGCCATGTGGCTGAGTAGTTGGATAGTGTACCTCAAAAAGTAGGTGAGAAATGGCTTCCTTGTTGCTCCAGGGGGTCAAATACTAATGATATGAGCTCACTTACCTGCCAAAATTCACTTTTATACTAGTTTTTCAGTGCTTTAATATTTGTAACTTAAATTTTAAAACTCCTATTTACAAACACTACTGTAACTTCAGTGAAACTGAATTGTGTGAATGAAGCTTTTTGCTTATAGTATTTATTACACTACTTAATTCAGTGAATATATAAAAGTAGCCTTCGATTTATTTTTATATTATTTTACATGTTTTTACCTGCAGTTGTGTACGTGAGTTTACCTTGGTAATTAAGATGTAATGCTAAGGACCAATAAAACTATCACCCAACAAGCAAGGCCTCCATTGTTGCCTGTCCTGGACACTGCCCCAGGTTCCTTGACAAAAGGGGGGCAGGGGCATTCCTGGGGACTCAAGGATCTTCGCAGCCTGGCTGGGATGTCCTTTCACTGGAGCTGCTATGAGACAAACCCTTGGGGGCTCAGAATGTGGCTTGATGGTAAAGTGTTCACCTGGTATGAATGAAGTCCTGGGTTCGATTCCTCAGTACCACATAAACAGAAAAGACTGGATATGGTGCTGTGGCTCAAGTGATAGAGTGCTAGCATTGAGCAAAAGAAGCTCCAGTGCCAGACCGTGAGTTCAAGCCCAGGACTGGCACCAAAAAAAAGTGGGGGGAACCCTTAGGGCTCACACTTCCTTCCCTGGTTTCCATAGTTCACAAGAAGAAGCCACCTTCTCTGGCTAGCAGAGAGGGCCCTGGAGAAACTGGAGAGGAGCTTACAAAAGCCCAGTAGGAAAGCCCTCCCACCTCTCTACCTGCCAGATTCCTTCACACACACTCTCATACCCGGTCCTTTTTTTTTTTTTTTTTCCATTGCTAAAGATAGATTTCATGGCCTGGATGTTAACCAAGCACTCCACCATGAAAAACATGGAACTATATCTCCAGCTCCTCTCCTAGTCTTTATCCTAGCCTGCAGTAGGAATGTGCCTTTACTGCCTGAATGACCTGTAATGCGCCTCCAGGTGACCCCTCAAACCCACCTTATAAATAGGAATTACTGGGCTGGGGAGCTGATAACAGACGGCAGAGCTACGGCCCTTGATTCCCTTAAAGCTGAGAACCCTCACAAACTCAGATCTAGAGTGGGGCCTTGAAACTGCCAATTCTAAAGGAGTTGGCCAAAACCCTGGAGCTCTTAGGAACAAATATAAATTCAGGAACTATCCCTGCAGGTCCAGGTTCCGCTAGCCTAGCATCCACAGCAGGTGGCCTGGGGGTCTGGCAAGCTTACATTCTCTCCCACAGGCTCCACAGCTCCTGAGGGTGGGGAGAATCATAGCCTGTGGGGAAAAGGGCTGATCTGGGAGGGGCCCTTTCCATCAATTCCTACCTCCAGAGGCCTCCGGCTTGCCTCCAGGGGAGGCAGTGTTCCTGTGACCTGGAGTTTGAAAATCTAAGGTTACAAGTTCTGTGAGTCCTGTACAAAGCTACGTGGGAAGTCATTGGGAGGGGGTGACCACAGTGTCACCCTCCCCCCAGTCCACACCACCCAGCTTCCTGCCACTCATCCTGGTGGCCGTATGCCCAAGCTCCTTTACCAACCCACAGACTAGAGATTGTTCCCCCAAGGAACTGCAAGCAGAAGTTAGTGGGGGGGGGGGGGATAGAAGTGTAGAAGGGTTTCTTAGCTAGAGTGAATAGTGTGTTTATGTGGGAGCTTGGATGTTAGGAAGCAGGGATGGAGCAGCATCTTCAACCTGGATATCTCAGTGGGGACCTGGGACTACTGAGAACTGCTTGATAGAGAAGAGGAGCCACAGAACCTGAGAAACCTAAGTGTGATTTAGAGCTGAGGATTTCATGTGGTGTTGCATTGAGGAACACCAGAAACAGGGATATACCAATTTTTGTCACACAGGGTAGAACAGTTGTGTCCAAACAACACAGCCACAGCCCATGACAAAGGGAACAGCTTGGTTCAGGTATACAGGGCCTGGAGTGGTACTAGCTTCAATTCCAGCATCGAGACACCCTCTATGCTGGGTAGCCTCACTCCCCGCCAGCAGTGAGCTGTCATTGCTTCCAGTAACACAACCCACCAAAAGCAAGACCCTACCTGCTCTAAAGGGGTTCCCAAAATCTGGGGTTCCATTCCTATTCCTTAACCAGACACTGGTCAGGAAAATGGGCTCATTCTGATAGGCCTGGCCTA